TAAAATCTCCTTCGGGGGAGGGGTAAGGAAGTTTTTGTTAACAAAATATAAGTACACGTCTTTATAGAAAAAGCTAGTATTTCGTGCTTTGGACGCTCAATCCAAAATAATACTATTACTGCGACTTAATTAATATTCAAAATTAAAAAACTCTCGTCATACGAGCAAATAAATTTTTTGGACCTTTTTGAAAATCACGCACTTTGATAAGAATCAAGGATGACTTGTATATTTTGAGAGCTGAGAATGATTTCCAACTGTGTTAGCAACACAATAAACCCAAGAAAGTAATTAATTATTTTCTTTGTTTTGACCGTCTTCTGCCGCTGTTTGCGACTTCGTTGCCGACGTTGTCTAAAAGTTGCGAACTTTGTAAGTCCGCTCCACGCGATCTTTTTCTTGCGCGGACCAAAGCTGGCAATCCCGTGTTGAAAGCTGATCAGAACACAAGATTCACTTCATCTTGCCTGCGGGCGTTGCCAGCTATATGATAAACTCTCTTAGTGACTTCATTAACATTCAAAATTCACAAACTTCCGTGCAACTGTCTTTTGAGCGGAGAAGTTTGTTCGACCCATTTCGTGTCCCTTTGAAAAATACACGCTCTATTGCACTATTGTTGCGCGAGTCAAACAAAAAATTATCTATGTGCCTTCATCAACATTTACATTTTTAAAATGTTTTGCTATAATTGTCTCGCCAACCAATCATACATGACACTCCCTCTGCGACTTCATCAAGCCCACAAATGTTGGCCCCTATTGCATATTTTAAAAAACTTACGCTCTTTCGAGCTAGTGTCGTCCAAGCCGCAAGAGGAAATCCCTTTACAAATTACTGAATATTCTAAATCATAAATTTTCTTCATCGAGCCCAAAAGTTTTCCGACTTTTTCCTTGTCGTTTTGAAAATCACGCTTTTTTACCATTGTCGTTCAAGCTTATCGAGTAACCCTTCTCTCGACATCCAAAATCACAAACTTTCGCTCCCTTGTCGATCGAAGCCCACTTTTTTCTTGAACTATCCAACTTTTTCCAAATTTATTGTTTTGAAATTCGCGCTCTTCTAAAGTCATCGTTCTCTTGTTCAACAGTGAAAGGTCTAAATCGCAATTAAAATCCTAATGTAACCCATAGGCTATGGGACACGTGTCGCAAGAAAAAAAATTTACTTTGGTTTAGCCTTACTGACATCTAGTAACTAGTCACCTGTTAAAGAATTCAACGGGAGCTCCAACCTACTTTTCGAGCGCCTCACTCATAGAATTCCCGTAGCGCATCAGCGTCACTCTAAGTTTTACCCGCGGCGCGCTAACGTCTATTTCTTTTCCACTGATTTCTTTTTACTCGTCGCATCTGCGTCGCATCTGATATGGACATGTAATATCGTGTTACGAAGTATTTTTCCATTACACAATCCCTGAATAGAAGACCACTTTCCTAATACAGGAGGCGCTTTAATCATTTTTCGCTTCACCACGTACAATCTTTGCCCCGGGAAAACCACCAATTTTACCCATGAATAAGCTACCTGAATCTTTCCGTGTTTATTTTCATCCCCATAACTTACGTCAAAAGCTTCAAAAAGAACCGCTGACATACATGTTCTGAGCCGCCGTACCGCGGAAATTTTTTCCATCATACATAAAGGTTTGATCTGCGACGAAAACAATTCCATGGATTTGGACTTCAGTTCTCCTTTAATGACCTGTAGTGTTCGTTTTGATTTGTCTCTTCTTAAAGATTTTTGTCTTAACACAGGCGGCCCAAGCGTACTGTGTATGATTTTGGTGTCTAAAGGTCATTTTTTCTGGAAATACCTAACATATTCAGATTGAATTTTAAGCGTGTGCGAAATAAATTCCAAGCTGCCTAAAGGTAAGGAAAGGCCACAGATTGCCAAATGCTGCTTTGAATGATTAGGCAGATTAAAGTGCTTAACGACTGGTTTTGATGCGTCCTTGTCATTCTCTTCTACGCCGCGAAGGTGTTCTCAGAATCGGTCACTTGGTCGTCTTCCTGTTTCGCCGACGTATATCTTTTTGCAATAAGTGCAAGTTATGCAATAGATGGTGTTGGCGGAAGTGCACGTGAAGTGATCAGGGATCTTAATGGATCGTTTGGGTCCCGATATTTTCTCAGCGTTGTGAATGAAAGGACAAGTTTTGCATCCCGTGCGAGCACATTTAAAGCAGCATATGGCAATCTGCGGCCTTTTCTTATATTTAGGCTGCTTGGAAAGCCGCAAAACTCTTGAATAAAAGTTTATCTATCAAATCGGCATTCTTAACCCCATAGATATCAACGAACGCTTTTCATTCTACTAATTTATTTGCGTTCTTCCAGTCACTATGTTTCTTCCAATAGCGTAGCTCCACTTTCTGCATATACACACACAACCCACAATATCTCCATTCGCTCTGACCAAGGGCTAACGCTCAAAACGTCAGCTTTTCAACTCTTTACGGTGGCCAATTTACAATTTCAACTTAGTTGATATAACCAAATTACCCCCACCGACGCAGCACCACACTTTCTTTAGAAACCTACCCCTTTAATTATTCAGGCCTGGAATAGTTCACTCGTTCCCAGTCGTCTCACCGGGCACGCCGTCCTTCAATCTGATAAGAGACGAATCAGAACCTTTCAAATGTTTTTCAGGTCCATTAGTAAATTATCTATTATAACGAGGATCAGAAGAACATCAGGTCCTTTTCTTATTGTGTTACGACTGTTTTCCTCTAAATTCAGTTAACTTTTTCCTGTTCATTCATCTGTCGACTAGAGCTTTATTTGTTCAAACGTGACAAATCTGCCTCTATGGTGAGCCACTTATCCGCCATTCTCAAACCCTTAGGCGACCAATCATTTGCGCCGGTCGGGCTACGCGTCATTTCTCTTGAATAGAGTTGAAATCTCAAGGGTATAATACTTTCTAATTCAACACGCCACGCAAATTCTTCCTAATATCTACCCGCCAGCGACAAAGCTCGCTCAATATTTTTCCGTAGTCTGTATAGTTTGTCACTTTCAGTGAAGATATTCACGCCGTTTTTCAGTTGAGGTTGTCTCATTGTAATAATCCAGCAGAGAGGTGATTTCAAAATAAGAGGACCTCAAAATGATGTCCGAAGTTACCGATGAAGACCTCTACGGCAGTTCCGCTTCTGATACAGACGAGGATGAATTTCACAAATGGCCTCGAGTTGAAAGAACATCAAGGTTTTCGCTAGTTTTCTTCATTCTTGGAGTTTCTCTGATAGCGCCCTTCACCACATTCGTTTGTGCGGCTGAAGATGTATTAGCTGGAACAAATAAACCCACAGGATTGGTGATTATATCGTTAACAGCTCCTTCGTGCATCCTCAAGCTAGTGTCGTTGTGTTTTCATCAAGTGTCGTACGTCGCTCGCGTGTTCCTCGCAGCTTCTTTCGTCCTAACGGGACAGTTGTGCACCGTGTTCATTTCCCACCTTGGAGGTCGCCTGGCTGGAGTTTGTTTAGTAGCTGTTGGAACTGGAGTTGGAGAAGTTTGCCTTCTTATGCAAGCTGCGAAAATGCTGGAAGAAGCTGCTCTATGTTCGTTTGTAATAGGATCTGGAGTTGGAGGAGTTCTAGGTGCTGCCTCTTACGTGGGTAAGTTACAAAAAGGTTATCTTCGAGAACTGCAGATATTTCAAATGTTTCGCTTACGTACGTGTTCTAACTTATTATTAACTGCGGGTTTATAATATCAAGTGAACCCAAGTGCTGTCAATACGTTATCTTGTCATTTAGTAAAAAATTTCTCATCATCTCAAAAATACTATAACTTGTTTTCATTTTTTGAAATTGATTGTGCCTCGATAGTTATGCTAGATTTTTTAAAACAATGTTATTTACAATGCTGCTTCATTGCTGCGTTTTAAAATATTGGCATTGTTACCAATGCGTCGGAGACTCTAACTTTTTCCTGTTTGTAAATATACTAGAAAAAGGCTTCGAGGCATTTATCAGAAAAAAAAAAACAAAAAACAATCAAAACACATTGTAAAAAAAATTTAAAAGCGTGTGGTAAAAAATCTAGATCTTTGCATAAATAATGTTAAGAAGTGTCATACGGGAAACGTAGATTTCGACCGAATGACCGCTCTCGCAAATGGTCTTTTGGATGATGACAGTAGACTCTTACAATTGATGACGTTTGTGATTACTAAGAGAGGTGTGGGTGGTATCTTGGTCGCGGGCTAAACGCATACAATAGAAAACTGAGTGTTAAGTAAATTCTGTGCAGCGAGAATCATAAAATGATTCAAGTTATAAATTTTGATCACTCATTTAACATGTAAAAATGAAGTCTCTATACCAAATTTGAAATTTCTTGAGAAGTGCGCAGCATGTGAATTTGTAAAGTACAACCGCTATAATTGTTACCGAAAAATTCCTTCTTTTCTTTTTCGCGGAATATTTTTCTGTGAACCACAGGTTAATTTCAATTCCTTTAGTCAAAGTCAGGAGAGGGCCCCCTAAAGACTTCCTGTCACGAAAGAAAAGTTACCCTTGATCGAATTCAGAGATATTCATCGAGATTGGTTTACTTTCTGCCCAAACTAAACTGCACTTTTCTCAAATACAATCAAGATAAGGCTAAAATACTTAGTGATTAATGGAATATACGATTTATAACCCCTTCCCCCCTCAAAAGAAAAAGAATTGTCTTAAGTCAATATTACATCGAAGCTTCATTTCATTGCTTCACAAAAACACTGATTTTAACTTCCCAAAGAATTTATATGGAGCAACGAAACGGTTTCAAACAATTTTTCGCTAAAAGAATAAGAAAAAGAAACTCCTAATTGATTTGTCCCTCGGATAATCGTGCACAAAAACATTCAGTTTATTTGTTCGAAGCTAAGACAATACCTTTTGGCCTTCAAGTGGAGTAAACATAATGAAAATTTACATCTCCCCCTATGAAATTCCTGACCATTGCCCAAAAACGAATTGTTGTTATTCTTGCTTCACCACTGAGATCAAAGTGTTCACTTTGTTTTCTACAACGCTGGTAATTTTTATTTCTTCCTTTTTTTTAAATATTCTAGAGTACAGTTTCACTTTGTTTCATCTGTGCTAGAAATTTTCGCTTTTTCCTGTTTTGTCAATATTCCAGAACCCATTCATACAACAAGGTAAATATCTGGCCTAATTCAATCGTATTAGAAAACGCAGAAGAGTAGACTTTACCTAAAGCCCAGCTCGCAAAATGGTGTTATTTGCATGATGTACAAAATATTTGAAAATTGATTATTGCTCTCTGGGAATCCGAATACTACACTGAATGGACAACAGGGAATCCACGGATCGACTAACTGGCAAAGTACATATGGTGAACGATCCTCGCAGTAGATAGCGCTATTTAAGCAATAGCGAAAATCAGACCTGAAAAAAA